CGAGGCATAGGTCTAGTAATACCTAATTCAATAAGCATCCTAGCATAAGAAATACTATCTTCATTTTCCTAGTTCACTCCCTATTCTACTCGGGGCAGTTTTGCCCCCAAAACTTTGCTAAATATTCACTACAAAATCTGTTGTAAAGAGAACTTTCTAAAATAACTCAACCAACTTTTTTTTTTTGTTAAAAGAAACTAAAAACTTTCCGCCAAAATATTGAGTTTTTTACACCCTTGATCCTTTTTAACTATTATTTTAAAAAATAGCATTATTTATTATTTATTCCATAAATAGCACCCTTTTTTTTTCATTATTACATATTATAAAAATTAAGCTAACATTTAATAAGTTAACTGACTCACCAATCACGGAAAGTACTTTTTTTGTCTATCTCCATTCTCCCTTTCCAACATTCATCTTTTTCACTCCATTTTTAAAAATCTGATGCATATGTGAATGCCACCCAAATTCAAGATGTATTGATTTATACGTCTTTTATACTTTGTATATCAAGTATCACTTTAATTCAAAATGTATTTTTTATGTATATAATTTTTGTATATTTATTTGTGAAGTGGCATCTTATTTTAAGATATTTTTAATATATATTTCAAATATATTTTATATGTCAAGTGCCATTTTAATTCAGGATATATATATATATATATATATATATATGCCATCTTAATTAAATTTAAGATATATTTTTTATGTGTTAATTCAATGCATATTTTTTATATATACGTTTTGTATATATTAACGTATATTATTATCGAAATACGATCTTTATGTTAAGAAATGAAGAAATAAGAAAGAGAAAAACTTAAGAAAGATAATTAAAAAAAAATAAATGAAATAAATTTAAAAAATATATTGGTTACTGCAGAAAACAAAATTAAGAAGATGAAGAAAAAGAAGGAAAGCTAATAGATAAAAAGAAAAAAATGCATGATTTTTGCACAAAGAATTATTGACTTTTCATTCAAATTGCTTATGTTTAGGGATTAATAATTAATATTTCTATTTTAATAGAACTGTGTGTTATAAATATAAATATGTTTCTGCCACAATTGTATTATTGGATTTCATGTTAAGAATTTGTTATATTTCTTTTAAACTGTGACAGTTAATATTCAAAATTATTGGGCCCATACTGAATCCATATAGAGACCCATGCTTTCTTGCTCCGCTTCTTTTACCGTTATACCCCTATTCTTAGGGTTTGGGTCCGTCGCTTCCAGTTCCAGAGACTTATATCTTCGTGCTTTAGCTAAACCAAAACCCTAATTCGACATTGAAGCTATGCGCCGCTGATTTGCTACACTCCACTGAATTTCACACTCAAAACTTTTTCTCTCAAAGCATAATAAAAGAAAATCAGTTTTGCTAATCGAGCTTTCTATCCGTCAATTGTTCTTTATATTGTTTCATCGTTTGCTAGTTTAATTTGTGATGTTTGTCCGTTTGCATTTACATGGCCGGTGATGACAAAATATTTGCACGAGCGGCAGCAACAATTTTAATGCGCACCTATGGTTGTTACCATGGGGTTGTTGTTGCTATGAATAATGTGCCAATATGCTAATCTGAGGCCTGCTTGTTTCAGTATTGGGTGCGTCCAGCCTTCTTTTTTTTTTTTTTT